ACACGGATCTACACTGAGGACATTGGGATGTCATTCAGACTGGAGAAGTGTGGCCAGATGGTAGTAAAGAGAGGAAGGTAGTTAAGACTGATGGGGTAGAACTACCAGCGGGCCACATATCAGACATACTGACCAGCTACAAGTACCTTGGTATCTCACTCTCACATGGGAACCAAGATGAGGAGACAAGGAAGACAGCAACACCCAAGTACCACCAAAGGATAAGACAGGTCCTGAAGAGCCAGCTCAATGGGAAGAACAAGATCCATGCCATCAATATGTACACCCTGCCAGTCATCAGATATGAGCTGACCAAAGGAGGACATGGAGGCTGCCGATGTGAAGACCCAGAAGCTCTTCACAATGTACAGAGATTTCCACTCCAAGTCCAACACCCAGAGACTGCACACCAGCCAGAAAGAGAGCAAATGGAGTCTGGTGAGTATCAAAGCCACTGTCCTGGATGAAACCCAGAGCATCCAGGAGTACATCAATAAGTTGCTACCCAAAGATGAGCTGCTGAGAGAATGCCTGAGGCAGCAGCAGACATTGGAGGAAGTTCAAGCAGAGGAAGTGCAGACAGTTTGAAGGTCATCCTACAAATAAAAAATGAAGGTTCCAATAGAAGAGAATATATGTAGCTCAGGGTCGAACTGCGGAGTTGTTGGTGCTCTCTGAGCTTGGTTGTTTGCTTGCAGATGATAACATCATCAGTGCTAGGGTTTAGGGTTTTACAATACCCAATAATCCTTGGGATGAGGATTTTATAATACCCTAATCAAAGAACTACCAAGGAGAAAACCACACCCCCACCAATACTAGCAGGGCAAACTACTGTATAGAAACAGGGAGTAAACCCCACACTCGTTAGCACTGTTGATGTCACCTAGTCAGGTAATGAAATCTCTGCAAGCAAACAACCAAGCTCAGAGGGTACCAAGGACTCCACAAAAAATGAAGGGTCAAAGAAATCTATTCATACACACCTCAAAAGAAATCCCAAACCATTAGGCAAATCTCTTATGAAGGAGAGCAGTGGAAGTTCTTTAGCTTGAATCCCCACCACTGTCTGGTCATAGAAAACATCTGGGATTCCTAATTTGAAGTGACTACAATCACAGACCCTTCTCACCCCTTTTTGTTTACCAGCACTCCCTGTGAAGAAGACATTCTTTCCACTCAACACAGCACTCAGCACCATTGACTGCTCCTGGGAAAGTGTTGCTCGGGAGCCCATCGACCAAGGCTTCTTCACCTGCTGTTCTTCAGTCACCTGATGCGACAATCCACATTTAAGTGATGTTCCAAAGGTAGAAGTTATGCATTCAAACCTCAATAAATCAGAATTGGTTATTACAGTGGCTGAGTGCCACTAAAGGATTACACTTCTATTTCTTTGCCAAGAAGGGAAAGGAAGAAAAATCCTGAGGAGGGAAGATGAGTTGGGAGAGCAAGTTCAATTCTTGTGGGAAAAAAGGGTTTTCATTAACAATTCCCAGTGACATAAAGGGCTACAAGAGGAATTGCTGGCAGAAGGGATAATAATTGTAGTTGCATTAGTGTAGGAAAAGAGCCAAGGAGTGCCCAGTACTGTAGCTTGTGTCCAGATACCAAATATTTTATTGAATAGAGGTATTAGTCTATCCAACCAGACTCAATAGAAGCATATTCATTTTGACATGCACACCCAGCCACACAGGTCCAATACAGAAAACACCTCCTACATAGAGGCAAGTTTAAACAAGCAACAGAAAGCCCAGACTTGGAATATGAAAACTTTTCTAAAGGTACTTAAGGAATAAATCAATCTATCTTCCCAACATGGTATCCTTTAGT